AAAGTGAGCAACTTTATGTCATTGAGGACCTAGAGAGGTCCAGATCTGGAACCATATCTTTGTGATAAGTCCAGATCCGAGTTTGACTCCATTTTGCACCAAAAATGGTCATTTACTTCCAAGAAAGGGGATCTAATCAACTAGAGATCAAGGTGACGACTTTATACCTCAAGATGATGGCCAAAACAGAGTAGATGTCGGATCTACTGCTTCTCTCCTTGCTCCTTCCTCTTTAAGCTCTAGAATCCTTCACAAATACCCCAAAATTTCTCACAAAAGCTCTTTCTCTCACTCAAGAAGGTTCAAGGTCGATCTAGGGTTTTCTCTGGCTATTAGGGCGATAAGGGAGGCCACAAGAGGCGCATTAAGTTCTTTAAATAAGGTGCAAACCCTAAAAATTAGGGTTTCTCTTTATAGCTCCTACTCGTCGAGTCGGGGCCTTCCGACTTGTCGAGTAGGACCCAAACCCCGCGTCCCCTAACAGTCTCTACTCGACGAGTTGGAGTACCCCAACTCGCCGAGTCCATGCACAAAACCCTAAAAATTATAAAAATTAATCAATACCTGGAACATGTGTTACAAAATGAGAGTCTAACATTGTAATATTTCAAATTGTCATTTTGTAAAATTTCATAAATGGTCCTTAAGCAAGTTTCACAAAATGACAGAAATAGTCATGATGCAAACTTCTTTTAATTTAACGGATCCATCTAACATACATCCACGGTAAGGATAATTTGTATGCAATGTTTGCTCCATAGGGACCATCTACAGAAAAAAAAAAGTTTCGTAAGAACCATTTCAGAGAAAAACTGCAAAGCTAAAGGACCATCCGTGAAATTTGTTCTTATAGAATTAAAAATAGTAAAACCCACTATAAGTGCATAAACTGCTTTTTTTAGAAACCGAATCCGTTTTAAATCAGATTCGGTTTAAGTCAACTAAGTCAAAACCGCTTTAGGATAAAACTGGTTCAAACCAAAAATTATTTGAACCTATAAAATCCGAATCGGACTAGATTGAAACCCAAATGCAAAATCGGGTTGAAAAAAGCGGTAGAAACTTAAAAAATCAAAATTTTAAAGATTTTTTGATTTTTAAAAATACATAAAAACATGAAAACAAGTACATCTCTAAACATGAAAACATGAAAGACAACATTTGTAATTGAAAATAAACATGTAGGCATTGGCGTTTTTAAAATTTTAGAGATATGTAAGTGTTTTTGAAGGATGTGATTAAACTAACACATCCACCATCTATATATATATTAACAAATGAGGGGTAAAATGGTCTTTTATGTAAAGAACTATATGGTTATTGGTTATAAAAGAAATAAAAATTAAAGGGGAAAAATGACAGTTTCTCAAACCGGTTATCAAACCGAGCTCAACAAAAATAATCTCAAACCTATACAAACCGTCGGTTCAAATCGAAACCGGAGAGGATTAGCTCAAACCTGTTTTTGACCGGATTTGTTTCGGATCATAAACCAATTTCGGATCATGAATAGGTTTTTGGTTTTTTTTGTGCACCTCTAAAGCCCACCCCCTCCTCTTTGTCTTCCTCCGCCGCAAACCCAAGCTTGTATAGCCTTCCTCACTGCAGATTAGTTTTCCATGTTCAATGCCTCAATCTATAAATCAATTAATCAATATTCAATGTTTGCTTCATGTTCATGAACCATGAGAAACCAGATGAACATAAACCTAGATAATGAAGACCATATCTTTTTTTTTCTTCAGTTTTCTTCATCTTCTTTGAAGGGATGTTTGGGCTAGCTTCTTCTTCATCTACTATGTAGTTTCAGGAAGATTTTGGAGGATCCAAGTTTCTTCCCAACAAGAGAACAAAAGAAATATACACACAAAAAAGAAATCAAAAACCCGAATCAAAATCTAAAACCAAAACTCGAAACCCTACAACACAAACAAACAAACACCTCCGTCACATACCCAACCTATAGCTAGTAACATCCAACAAATCAATCTACCACCGGATTTCTAAAACAGATGCTATGAAGTATATACACAATATGGAGTAGACAAACACACCGCTCAAAATCAAAATTCGAACTAAAATCTACTTTAGGTATTTTTAATCAATAGAATATTGAAAGATAAGATCAAACTGATCATTATCTAACATCCAACGAATTGATTAACTTTGGTATTTTTTTTATTCTAAAATCACTCAGGTTGAGAGAAACGATGTTAGAGTTAAAGAAAGTGTTGAGATTGCGGGTTGAAACCAGGATACTTTTGCTAAATGGTCAATTTAACGGTGGAATGATCATCCAAACCCCATCTGCAAAATCAAACAATATATGAAGAAATTAGTTAACCCAATAAAACCTGCAAACAAACTCATGATGATAACCTTAGATTTATATTTTTCAAAGAACTCGAGCTGAGGTGGGGATGTGCCTTTGAAATAAAATAAATAAAACTTGGATCAAGAGTACAACCTTTTGTCAATCACATGAATGAAGCATTTTTGTAATTTACTCCAGTAATAACAATGAAATAAAAATAGCCTAATCCTCTACTTCTATCGTTCCATTTATTTGTAATTTCACTTTTCACCATCTCATACAAATATAGATGATAAATATAAAACAAAAATAGTACATATATAAGATACTCTAGATAAAAATCCTATACTATGCACTTCTCTATCTCTATAACAACTCTTGTGCTGCAAACTGCAAAGGCAAATCAACTCTTGAGATCATTTATCATTGATTCCTTGATGATCAACGGCCAAGGATTCCCCAAGTGTCCGGGTTACAATGCACTTCTCCGCATGATATAACTTCTCTTGAACGGAACGGGACGTAACCAAAGCGTGAAGTTCTTCACTTTGTTCCTGCACATCATCGTGAAAAAAAATGTAAAATTCATTTTGACCTCTACTTTTTGTCAATTAACAGATTTGAACCCTATTTTTCTAGTTCTCTCTCATTTTGGCCCTTACTATTTCACAAGTAACATTTTTGCCCCATAAATTCTTGGGTTCAAAGTGACAAAGTCTCGAATCTCGATTGTGTTTGTATTTTCTTTGCTTATATATATATATATATATATATATATATATATATATATATATATATATATATATATATAAAATAAAACATAATGAAACCAAAAATGTTAATTTCGGTTTAAAACTGGTCAAATCTTAAATTGACCCATGAAGTGTATAAGTATAACTTTATTTTAATATGAAAAATTAAAAATCCAAATTAGTGTTTGATATGAGAAAGGCAAAAAAGCAATCGGTGAAGTACCTGAGATGAGCCGACGTGTTGCAGAACACCAACTTGAGCTTGCAAGAACTTAACGTACTTGAAAGCCGCCTGAAACATCTCCGCCGTGTTCATCCGATGACCACCGGGTACCAGCTTCCCTAGCTCTAATGTCTTCTCGCTTATCCTCCGCCTCCGAACTCTCGCCGCTATACTCTGTGCTGATAACCTCCCCCCTACATTATGATTCCCTGTCGTCACATGTACACCATTACTCTCCTTAACCTGAAACGTATCCATCACAGGATCAACTGCAGAACCACCATAATGGTAGATTTCCGGCAATGGTGGCAGTTCCGGCTGCAACTGCTCCATGGGCCATACATTAGGATTTTGGGGATACGGAGAATACTGGCCATGAGTAAAGCTGGATAATTGGGTAAGGTCTGGTAATGGCTTCGGTAAGCGATGTTGTTGGATGGTGATGGGTGGCAAATAAGATGATGATAAAGTGGGGTATCTGACGGGACTGTGAAATGAGAGGTTGGTGGTGGTGACTCCATTGTTGAAGCTTGAGAAGTGATGGTTCGACTCCAATGACAATGGGTTGTTGATGCAAGTATCGGAAAAGGTAAAGTTGTCATGGAAACTTAAGAGCTCCGGTGGTGGAGGGAAGACAGCGGTGTCTTGGTGGAGTTGCTGGAATGTTGGCCAGTGGCAGTTGGTGGAGAAGCTGAAAGCCGCCATTGACGATGGAAGAGCTTTTATTGAATGAGAGTGGACCATTAGCTTACTAAACTATATAAAGGGGGTTGAGGAACGTGCATGTGAGAAATAGTCAATAGGGGATTAACGTCCCCCCTAAAAACCAGGAGAAGATTAACTGATTAAGGCTAGTTTTACTTACACCACTCCACACTATGAAAACGTTACAATTTGGTCCCTTATTCTATGCAAACTAACCTTATGTAATCGATTCTTTTGCAAAAAGTTATTAACTTGTATATTAATAAGTAATTATTTGTTGAAGAATTCTCACAAGACTCCTGGACATGAATAATCAAACATTACATTTATTTTCAACCGTTGAAAATATAATCAGATTTCTAAATCATAGTTTGATTTCCTAAGTTTTTTGGATATAAGTCTATAAAACAATATTTAGCATGTTACTTTCATTTTATAGTCGTGTATGCTTCAGTCATATGTTTGTTGTATATATGTATTGTATGCAAAACATATAAATAATATATTAACACTAGCAATCTATGCATAAATTTCCTTCAAAAAATTAAAAACTTTATTTAACAGATAAAAGAATGTTAGTTTTGTAACTTATTACTCCATTAGTTTATTACTTAATTAATAACAGATACATATCATTAACTACATATTACCTACTAAACAAAACTCGTATTAGATATTCAATAATTTCTTATATTTCACTTATTAATTTTTATATGCAATAATGAGGTAAACTTGTAAAAGCAATCCGGAACTTATCATGAAATATTAATAAACTATAAATATGAATTCCTTTCTCTTGAAAATGAGATTACATATTTACAAGATAAAGGAAAAAAAAAATGAAGATCCAACATACCCATGAAAAAGAGGGAATTAAGCCTAAATTTACTAGTAACTACTATACCAAAATAAACTACTAAATAAATTAAATATATGATTAACTAAATTAGAAATAAAGTAAAAAAAAAAATCAAAAAGCAGTTAATTGTGGGTTTCAGGTTGATGATCATTTGCTTGGGGTTTCTGCAAAATGTTTCGACACAATGCACTTCTCTTCAGTGTACAACTTCTCTTGCATCAAAGTACAAGTCACCAAGCCTTGCATTTCGCCATTACGCAACAGTTCTTCAGTTTCCTGCAGAAAACCATAACTTTCGTTAACTTTTAAAACCCATAATTAGAATAAAAAAACCTTAATTACCACAGCTACAATTCTTTACAAAATCGTACCACATGCAATAAAGATTGAAAATTTTCTTTCTTTTATAGTTGTTTCTTCAATACCTAGTTCATATATATACTCACAATTGTGATACGCATGGATATAGTAGTATAGATTTAATTACCGGAATTGAGTTCATGAGTTTGAGAACACCAGCTTGAGCCTGCAAGAACTTGATGTACTTGAAAGCAGCTTGAAACATCTCCGCCGTGTTCATCTTATGGCCGCCGGGAATAAGCTTTCCTAGCTCTTGCGTCTTCTCGCTTATCTTCCTCCGCCTCACTCTCGCCGCCATACTCTGCGCTGATAAGCTCCTTCTTCCGTTACCTACATTCTGTTTCTTCACTTGTACCTTACAGCTCTCCTCATCCTGATCGATACGATTCCCGTATCTAGAGTCGTACCAAGGAGGCAAAGTAGCAGCACAACCACCACCTTGGTAGATTTCTGGCAATGGCGGCAGTTCTGATGGTATCTCCGGCACCATTCTATACTCCGTACAAAATTGGGACAAATGTGCACGATCAAAAGCACCCGAGTTGGGTACGTTGTAGTAAGGATCTTGATATGTAAAGCTGGAGACTTGAAGTAATTCCGGCGACGGAAGCAATACATTTCCGGTGGGTATAACTGGTGGGAGAACATCTGAATAATTACAGGACCCCAAACTGGGAATTACCTCTAGATTGTTGCTGTAGTTAGGGTCGAAAAGTGGGCTGAATCCGGTATCGTAAAATGTATAGTCTTCATGGAAAGTATACAGCTCCGGCGATGGTGACGGTGGCCGGAAAAAAGAGGAGTAGGCGGCTTCATGGCCTGACCAATTGTTGTAGAAGCTGAGAGCCATTGACGTGATGAATAACTTACTTATGTATCTGCAACAAAAAAACCATATAATTCATTACGAAAAGGTTAAATAAACTGAAAGTAATTAAGTTGCAATTAACAGAGAATTAATGGATAATTAATATAATAAAATGCAATTAATTAGTGTGTAATGAAAAGAACAAGGAAGATACCATTGAAGAGGAGTCAAAAAGACAGTGAGAAAGCGAAGATTACCTGAGGAAGATGGATATTGTCCTTTTCGTATCTCAAGTCTCAACACTATACTTGAAATTACTTAAATACCCCTTAAGGGTGGGTTACGAGGAAGTTATTTTCACAAAGTGCAGAAGTTGATGACCAGGTCAATAACTATAACCCTTACTTGTAGGAGTTAATGAGTAATACGACCTCAAGCTACGAACAATTTGGCAAATATTGGCCCTAAATATGTATCACTTGCGTTAAAGTCCTTTTATTTAGTGGAAATTGTCCATTAACCTTCAAGTTAGATAAAATTGAACAATAATCTATCTGGATATTCTTCGGCTCTTTAGTGTTAGGTAAAATTAAATATTTTGTGTTTTTAAGTGAAAATGATTTTAATGGAAAAAAAAAACCCATTTAATTATATTATAAAAACTGAATATCAAAAATAAACATTATTAAGATGACAGTATTTATTTTTATAGATGTTAATGGAGTCAAACATGACAAAGAAAACTTTCCTGAGCCCGCCCTTGAAATCTTCGGCTGCACCCGTTCTTTGTCGTGAAACGCTTGTTTATCCCAATCCTCCGTTTACCTCTTTTAACTATTTTAACTATGTTTATCCTATTTTATCTTTAGTTACTACGTCTAACATTAAGGCTATATTTGTCGCGCTAGCAGAAAAGCTAGCTAATAGTTAAAAAGCTAACCGAAAAAAAAAATTTGGTAAAAACTAGCTGATAAGTAACTAAAAGATATAAAATTACATAAAATTGTAGTTTCCAAAATAAGTTTTCTATAATTAATTAAGGATATATTTTGGAAGTTTGTAAAAAAAACTCCTGAAAAGCTCCAAATAGCCTTTTAAAAGTTAGTTTTTTGGTTTACCAAACACAACAACTCAAAAAAGCTCGAAAAATAAGTTAGTTTTTCAGCTAGCTGTGGCGCGCCAAACACAGCCTATATATATATATATATATATATATATATATATATATATATATATATATATATATATATATATATATATATATATATATATTAGTAAAGTTAATTCAATAAGAATCTCTACCATATTTCTTTTCTACAAAAAAAAAAAGTCCATTTCCAAAGAAAATTGAATAGTTCGATCGATCAAGTTATCTGGAATGTACACAATTCGAAGGCCGATGCACACCACTGCTAGACGTAGACCGATGGTTGAACCGACGTCCAAACCAATTGAACCGAGAACATGTCATTAGACCGGTTCAACTAAAGAATCGTTTTAAAAAATTGACTACGAGAGCAAAGATGTGGAGATATTTCTTCCGATGAAAGAAATTGTTCAAACGAGATATAGGAATAGGAACTAATTTTATTTTTCAGTGTTTGTTTTTCATGTTTGGTTTTATTATTATTATTATTATTATTATTATTATTATTTTAATTTTTGTATTTTTATGAAACTTCGGTACTCTTTTTAACTTTTAATGAATGTATTTTTTTTATTTTAATCTACTAATGTTTTTATTTTAATAAAAAAATCATGCATTTTTATTTAATTTTAATTAAAAATAATGATGTGTAGTGTTAGGGATACCATCCTAATGTGATTTTGTATGGTGATGAGATTAATGAATTAGGTGTCTAAGCCATAACTATATTTGGTATTTACTTGACCCGATTGTAGCATGGTCGTTTTGGGTTGTCTTCACCAGAGCAACTTCACTGGATGAATAATGGAGAAAGATGTTATTATGGTTTATTAATACATTATATGAATAATATATTAAAAGAAAAATCATATTTGTTAAATTAATATTGGTCAATAATTAATTTTGTGGTCAAAAGATATTAATTAAACTTGGGGGACTGATCTTGTAATTATAAGATAATTGCATAATGAACTGAGGAACCCTTAGGAAAGGGTTGGACGAAATCTTATGGGAGCCCATAAGGATTTCGTCCAAGGGCCTAGGTTCTGGAAGATTCTTCTGGACTGCTTAGAGCCTAAGCAACCGGATGAGGTCTTTGATTGAAACCCTAATTCCTCACCTATATAAAGGACCTTAGGGCACTAGAATTCGGCTACCAGAAACCATAGAAGGATTCCAAGAGCCGATTTTAGCCTTCCCCTCTCTCCAAGATCATCCAATTGCTTTTGCTGTTTGTGATTCATTAGAGGCATCGCATTTGAGGTGCTAGGTTTCTTAAAAGCTCAAGATCTTCAAGCAACAATCAAATGTAACTTTCTAACTTGTTTATTAGATGTTAATTTCGTTTTTGTTGTATGCTAGATTAGGGTTTGCAAGTGTTGGACAATTGTTGCATGTACAAATAGAAAAATTAGATCCAAGCATTAGGGTTTGCATGAACACCATATGAATGTTGTTTTGCTCAAAACCCAACAGTGGTATCAGAGCCTTGATCGTTTCTCTTTTGTATTTTATGCATAGCTAATTTTTTTCAAGCTCAAAAGTCAAAAAATCATGCCTCTGACTGATGGACTCGTCGAGTCACCAGATGAACTCGACGAGTCCTGTTTTGTGACTCGGCGAGTCGGCTCGTCTGGTGGCTGATTTTTCGGGATTTTGACTAAAATAGAATTGGGATAATTACCAAAAACGTTTTTGACTGATAAAACTCGATTTTTTCAATATGGTATTGATTATCCTAATTCAACTGAAGGATAATTGTCATAAATAAGATAATTACTTGTTTTATAAGATAAAATTAATTATTTGTATTTTTTATTTGAATTATCTTGTAAAGAAAATATATTAGGTAAAATTATGTGATAAATACTAATAATATGATTAATTAATAAAAAAAAATTTCAAATTTGATCTAAAAGATGTTTTGAAAAGCAAGTTTTGGAATTTAAATTGTGATTAAAAGTTTAATTTTGAAATATTTAAATTCTAAACTCTAGAATTTTACAAGTTTAAAATTCAACCCTGATACTATTATAATATTATAAGATTAATTATTATTATTATTATTATATATATATATATATATATATATATATATATATATATATGATTAAGCTAGTCTTACCGTTAGTAGGCATCATTCACGAAGCCGATCTATAAGGGGGGTATAAGGTTGCTGCCTATAAAATGGCAGTTTAATGGGTGTCCACTCTCACCCATCGCTTCCTTGATTGGTGGAAGGTCGTTAGCCGAACGGGTAGGATAGGACAACTAATTCCTCATTAATAAGTATAATGATTAATAAAGTAACTAAATGTTTTTTATAAAATTCTCAATCTTAGTTACTTTAGAAAAATGTGAAATGATGCCATTCCATGAAATTACACTTTGCACCCTGCCAAGTCGTTAGTGGAGCATGCGTAGATAACTGGCACACTAATTTGGGACTAGCAAAGGTGGCAAAGGGTGACTCGATGTTTATCATAGATCAATGGAGCGTGTATGGCTAACCGGCACATTGATTAGGTGGTAAATGACATCAAGGGTACCAAGTATATTTGCATGGTTATTCACACCTTGTTTGTGATCATCGGTATCCCAGTCACAAACTTGAAGGGCATATCAAGATTTAAACTTGCCATTGAAAAGTTCAATGAATCTCAAAAGAACTAGGAATTTCAATTCATTTAAAACTTAAAAATTCTTTTTCGTTTTTCATGGTGGAAATTGGTAAATCGTCATTTACCTACCTTCAAATTATTTGCAGTTTGGATTACGGCATCCCTCTTCTAAATTGTAAATAATTGTGTTAGGTCCTAGCCCTAATTTCTCATTTGGGTGTTTAATTGGGGATTCTTATCTAATCTAAACTTTGTTCATTTTCTATTTCAAATGTCTACTTCGAACAACAACAACGCTTCTAGCTCGACCCCTTCCGACTCATTCTCACTCATGAACTTGTGTGGGAGGGTGATATTTGATGGTCCAATTTCAACGATTGGATCCGTAATATTCGCATGGTCACCCGCTATGAGGACAAAGAGTATGTTCTCGACAAGGAACTGAAAGAGGTCAATGTGAACACTGCCACTCCCGAACAAATCGCTTCTTAGGAAACCCACGAGCGAGATGCTACGAAGGTTCATTGCATCATGCTTGCAACAATGACTGTTGAACTCCAAAAGTCCTACGAGGACTACTACCCCTACGAGATGCACCAAGATTTGATGGAAAGGTATCATCAAAGTGCTAGTGAAGAAAGGTATGAGATCATCGCTGCGAGGATCACTACCAAAATGAAGGATGGAGAGTCCTGTTGGATTAGTGTCTAAGCCCGTAACCATATTTGTCAAGTACTTGACCCAATTGTGCATGGTCCTTTTGGGTTGCCTTCACCAAAGCAACTTGACTGGAGAAATAATAGAGAAAGAGGTTATTATGATTTATTAATATGTTATAAGAATAACATATTAAAGGAGAAATCATATTTGTTTAATTAATATTGGTCAATAATTAATTAAGAATTAATTTTGTGATCAAATGTAATTAATTAAACTAGAGGGGCTGAATTGTAATTATGTGATAGTTACAAAATAGGGTAATGATTATCCCAAGGATAGGTTGGACGAATTTAAGGTGATAAGGCCTTAGAATTCGTCCATGATAAGGATTCAAGGCTTATCTTATGGGTTGCTTGGTGGGCAAGCAACTAGATAAGGATAAGGACTGAAACCCTAATCTTTACACCTATATAAACACCCATTTGGCTCATGAATTCATCCATACCTTCCCAAGGCTTCTTAGGGACGAATTTTTATACCTCTCCTCTCTCTCTATATCATCTCCAATTGTTTGTGGTGTTTGTGAGCCATTAGAGGCACTACACTTGTGGTGC